ATTTGTGAATTACTGTAATTTTACATTGATTTAGGAAAACATACATCAAATTGTTTGTTCACTATATTTGTTAATTTAGCTGCCGTTAAATAACTGTACCGTACATACAATGTAGTGAACAGTGCATTAAAATAGCGAAAAAACAATTTATTATTGTTATAAATAGCCGTGTATTTAGACGTTAGTTAACAAAACATTAAATTTCAGATATAAATCAGTGACGAAAAAAGGCATTTATTATGTAATAGTAGGAAAGAAAATGCATATAACACTTAATATGGGAAAGGATTGGCATTTCATTTGGTGTTTATTAAAATATTAATTATGTTTATATGAATTATGGACGCAAAACAGGAGTCAATTATAAATGCATTAATAATTTCCTTAACAATTAATTGAGTGTTGAATTGAAAATCCGTGCAATTATTGGACTCGAAAATTGCTTTTCCCTAAGAAATCACTGATCTATGAAGTATAATGAGAGAAATATAACTATTATAATTTATAACAACCTTATTATAACTTATTTCAATAAAACACCAGTTGTTGTATAATTTTGTGAACATATTAACAACTCGTTTTTATATAACTTATATTTTATATATTGTTATTAAAGTTATATTTTTCTACAAAGACGTTATAATCTGGTATTAAATATAAAATAGACATAAATTGTAGTGTATTTTTAGATACACAATAAATACATATTGTTATGGCTTTAAAAACCTGATTTTGTCGACAGATTATAACTTAATATTCATATATAATAGCTATTAATGCCATTTGAATTGCAGTACATTTTTATTATTTTGCAGATAATTTGCTCTCAAATGGCAAAAATTAAAGTGAGAAAAAAGACTAAAAGTTTTCTAACTATAAATATGTTCAAAATGATATTTTTGTTGTTACCGATTGTATTCACAACAACTGATAGGGAATAAGGCATTATAAATAACAAACATATGGTTTCGTGATTTCCATAAATGTAAAAAGTAAATTATTATAATAATATAATAAAATACACGTTCGGATAGTTTGTCAGTTGTTTTACTAATTTATGGGTTTAGGAATAGCCTCAATAACAACAACTATATCTCTGCCCCTAAACACCAACACCACTGCCACCACTACTACCACATCCAAACATCACCACCGGGTGTGAGTGTGAGTGTGTTTCACTTGTTTTGTGTGCATTTATGTGCAGGTATTTCAGGGCTATAACGGATTGCCTGTGGATTATCTGATCATATATTAGACTTAAAACCTTCCCAACAATTGTAAGAATTGTAAAAAGTGTATAAAATTATCAAAATGTGACCTCAAATTGAATGTACTTTTCAATCTTTACACCTCCTTCTTCTCGGCTCTCTCTCTCTCTCTCTCTCTCTCCATCTCTATCTCCCAATAGCTTCCCATTGACACCACTTTTTATTAGTTGTCTTCTTATTTGATTTATTAGTTCTTCAGTACTTGTATTAAATTTCATGAGCCTTAAGGCAGAGTTGCCTTAAAATGTTTGCATAAACCTCTCACTAGTTGTGTATATTCTGTAAAAGTATTTTTCTGTGTTTTATTTATTCTCAAATAATAAACATCTAATAATAACTTTATATAAAAATAGTTTTGCTTTCAATGAATAAATCTGTTTTTCTCAAAATCTGTTTGTGTAAATTTAATCAACAAAATCTTATAGTTGTGTGCATTTATTTTTAATTTAATAATTTTTGATTAAAAGTTGTTTTATAAAGAGTTTTCCACAACATTCACAACACAACGACTTTTAATGACTTTCCAATTCAATGAAAATGAGTTTTTAATTTATCAAGAATTTCTCCATTCAGTCAAATGTGTGCATAAAATAAAGAGTTGTCTCACATTTTCAATGAGTGTTTAGTTTTTTATTTGTCTTTCAAAATGTATATTTCATTTACCTTTTCCTTTAAGCCATAAAATCACAACTATTTACTTACAATTAGTATAACTTTCATTATACAAACCATTATCTCGTTATTGTTTTCCTATTATAAGTGGTTATAGTTTTTTCTTGTTCTCAAAATATTGTGACAAATTTTTTGCCGTAAAATAAACTGCTTTTTATCGTTTTCATTCAACACTTACAAAGTTTTAACTATGAATTCAAATACAAATATTTTAAGGAAATACTTAACACTAAACTCAATGCATAATAAAAGTTATAATGATTTCTATTGTGAACAACAGTTTGCCGACAATTATATGGATATTAATAATAGTCACCCGAAGTGTTCAGAAGTCAATTCAAATGTGTTTAGTGAACGTATTTGCGATGATTTATGTGAAGTAATACTCAGCCATCTGTCCATCGAAGACAAGATCCGATTGGAAGCGGTGTCCAAACAATTTCAACGATGTATTTACAGCAAACAATATCTCATTGAATTGAAGAATAGCAAAGATGAGCACAATTTATACAATTGTTTGGTGTATAAGTCAAACGCTAAGTACATAAATATCAAGGCGTTTGAAAGTTTGCTAAAGAAGTGCCGATTCTGTAACGAAATTCTAGTGAAATGTTATTTCATCGAAAACAAGGAACAAGTGTTGCAAACCATTAACAAAAGTTGTAAATATTTGAAAAGTATTTTATTTGATTTCAACGAAATCAGTTCCGCCACTATCTATGCCTTTGCCGTTATCTTTGGCCCTAATTTACGAAAATTGAGTTTCGTTTTCGCAAATCCGGTCAAATGTCTGGACAATTATCACCTATTGTTCCGCTTGTGTCCAAATCTGATCTCTCTATACAAAGTGAAGATCAAACACTTGTTCGCCATCAATGAACCGCTTGTGCCTAAACTACAAATGATTGATCTGTTTTATGGCAAAACAGACATCAAATACATCAAACATTTTGTCGATTGCTATCACAGGAGTTTGAAGTCCATTAAAATCAGTACCGAATTAAACAGCGAACTCCTAAACCAATTGCTCAAAGAGATCGTCCATTTCAAGCAATTAGAGTCACTGGAGATCTGGTCATCGCTTCGTATGTTTCACATCGACTCCCAATTCATACAAAGCGTTAAACACATCGGCAGTGAATGCAAGAAATTGCAACGATTCAAATTGACCACAACTAAAGTCAACCAAACCATTGCCGCCAAACTATTTGAGTCAATCAATGCGTTTCCGGCGCTAAAGTCAGTGGACTTACGGCTGATATACCGGCAGAAAGCGGACGACAGCCACGCCGTGACACTCAAGTCACTCAATAACTGTCGACAACTGGAATCGATTCGTTTGAATTACTCGGGCATTAATGATCGCCTCTTCAAAGACATGGGTCACTGTTTCCCGCGTTTGCGACACATGTGCCTCACTGTCGAGCAGATCACCGACAAAGGCATGCGATGTCTGTCCAAACTGTCCTCACTTCGGCACCTGTGCCTCGACGTCCACCACAACCGTACGATCGGCTTCCCTTTGGTCACCGACTCTGGCCTATGCGATGTCATCTATCACTGTCCGCACATCGAGTCCATCGTCTTCTACGGGCGGCCAAACATAACGATCGTTACGATTAACGCATTAATTCTGTTGGCTTTAAGTAAACCAAAGACTGAATTCAATCACTATTTAGGTTTCATTGAGAGGAAGTTCTCCACTGATTACACGCCCATCGAGTTGTCATACATCAGTAATTTGCCAAACAATCTCATCATATCCACCGAATTGGCCACTTATTACTCGTGATAAATATTAGGTTTATATTTAGTTTATAGCAATTAAATACTCATTTTTAATGATTATATTTTGACATTTTTATTACTTTTTTATAATAAAATTTATTAATTAAATATTTCAATACTTTTATAATTTTCAATACAAAATTGATTTCTTCATTAAAATGTTATACAAAAAATCTATAAACAAATATTTATTTCAATTGCAAATATAATTATAATTGTCTATTAAATTAAAAATTAAATGGAAAGTACTTTTTTGATATCAAATTAATACCAATTAAGAGTTAGGAAACATTTAACTTAATATCATATAAATAAACATTCAAATGAAACACAAATATAATTGAGATTCAGTTCACGAATAGATCTTAAATCTTAATATTATTTCATAATTAATGTATTTTCGCTAAAAGCAAACGTGGAAAACATTTGTCTGCAAAAAATACATTTCAATTATAAAATTTATTTCAAAAATAAGTTATTAAATGCTTTTCAATCTGTAATAATACTAATAATAAATGCAAATTAAATGCACAGAAAAAACAATCCGATAATAAACATATTGAGAAAATTAAACAATTTTATGAAAAACACATTTCTGTGTAAATAAGAAATTATTAAAGAGACTACCAATCAGTGAGAAGATAATCACTCTTCAAAAATACAGAATAATTTTCCAATACTTGAGAAAATACTTTAAAAATATTGAGAGATTTCAAGGCTTTCACAGTTAGGGAAGGAATTAAAAATCAACAAAAAAAATTCTTAATATATAATTACTGTTAATAAACGAGTATTCAATCCAAAAATGATAAAATAAATTTGAGAAAAAAATAATTAACAGAAAAGTTGTAAAACTAAAAGACGGTATAATTTGCGTCAATACTGTGTGAAAAAGCACTCAAAAAGTGCCGAAAAAACAAAAACAACAATTTGAGAGAGAATTTAACCGAAAAAACCATTGTATAAATAAAAACCTATTTTCATAACTTATTTTAATTGCAAACAACAAACAACTCGGAAGACACGAGTGGTCCGGGGGTTAGAGATCTAGTTAGGAATGAATTAGTTAAGTGTTAGGTAGGCATTAGAGGACAGGTAAGCAAAACAGTAAAACATTAATTATTAATACGAATTCTTAAAAATAACAGAATTCGAGATTCAAAGGACAAAACAAAAATGTAATGAAACGAAAACACAATTGATTTGTTGTCTTATAAAAAACAGTGTCTAATATTAATAATTACACGACTCTTAAGCTCATCACTGATGTAATCAGTTTGGTTTGATCTGATTATAGGTAGGATACGATGGATTATAGGCCGGCTGTGTCTGACTGTAGTTATAGGGCGGCGGCGGCTGATCCGGAGGGTAGGGTTGCAATGGATATGAGGGCGCGTTCTGCACCGGGTATGAGGCACTGTTCGGATACGATGGAATCGTTGTGACACTTGTCCCCCCTTCGGTGTGACCTATAGGTTGAAAGACAATCAAATATGTAAATTAATAACGAATTATAAACTCGTAAAAATATATCTTATAATATAATCAATTATAACATTACAAGACATAAAACAAATCCAATCGATTAGATAATGAAAGTATTTGCCTTAACTCTAAGGTCGTTCATTCATAAGACAAATGAATAGGTATTAGTGTTTTGACGTTTAAATGGTTTGTGCGCTCAAAACACACAGTCGTGTACTATTTGTTCATTGATTTTTGTCATGTATTCATACATTAAATGTATAATAAAATTAATGTTTTAAATGAATTTAATTGACAACAAAAAAACTGGATTTCTATACGAAAAATGCAGTTATTTTTAAGACTAAAAAACCTTCAAATAAAATACAGCACTTAAATGAGACAATTATCTCAATGCGTTTGTCACACAATTTCACTCATTAAACAATCCATTAATCCACGGCTTAAGACATGGATCAATGAATTACTATCTCAAACAATTAAGATAAGGACTAATCAATTGAAAAATCAATGGAAACACTAAACGCACATCAGATAAACGTGTGGTCACCACAAGAAGTGACCGATAGGTTGGGGTGAAAATCCAAATACTTGCCTAAGACGTGTCCACGGGATTGGCGTTTGCGTGAGAGTAGACAACAGGCGCAGACACAGCAGCAGACAATGAGACCGCCGACGACCAGCAGCGCGACGATAATGACGGCGACGGCGCCCTCGAAGAGGTACTTCACGTCTCCGGGATTGACGACCAGATCTTTGCTCTTTTTGCTCCATTCGCAGCAGTGTTTGTCCTGAGCCGTGAATCCGCAGCAAAACCTCTTTTTGTTGGACTCGAAAAGTCGCGGGCATTCAAACACGTCGTCGTTTCCGTTCACGTCTTTCCGACGACACGACTCACCGCACGAAACCACTGATGGGATACACAGATAGACAGTTAGCACACAATCATCACCAATCAGTAGATCCCATACATACCATTGTAAGCGATGATCATCGCAATGACCACAACTACACCGTAAACGCATTGACTGTACGCTCGCGAAGACATCGTTTCCGTTTCCGCTATATCTAAGTCTAATCTCTTGAGTGATGGCAATGGGTATTAGAGTCGCCACATATCCCGACCTCTTGAGCGATGATGTGGTGACCAATTGGTGGACAAACGAGAAGACAAAGCGATTGTTGTGTTATTGTTATTGTCTTTGAAGAGTCACATAAACCACAAGTGATTTGGTTTTTGGTGTGCAATACCTATCGCTTGTCTCACTATATATGTGTTATAAGAGTAGAGGTGTTCACCACAACAGAGAGGGAGCGCACGTACGGCAACTGTTGTGCTGTAACGCTATTTTCTCGCACACACTGTAACGCACGTCATGCGCGACCAATACGTGTGCTGTACAGCGAGTGCTCCCATTGCTGTAGTCGCTGTGCAGTGTTGGTCAGTGTCGCCACCTGTTGGCTGAGTTGTGTTTTTTGCTGTTATATTTCACGTTTTGATTGCAATGATTGCAATGAATGAATAGGTTTTAGGTTTTGATGTGAATAAAGTTTTTGGTTTCTTATGTATAGGTTTTTAATGGCATTAAAACTTTTGGTGAAATAAGTGGTGATTTCATCGCAATATTAGGGTTAATAGCTTTAGGCAAAGGATGTGTTGAATAAATAGTTAATAGTTTTGAAAGTTTTTTTTATAGTATTCAATATTTTTCCATTAAATGGTTTAAAAGTTGTAAAACTTTTTGATATGACTTATAGTTTTATTTAGTTTACAAACAATTACAGCGAGATATTTGCTGATTGAATGAAATTAATTGCAAATAAATTAGTGATAGTTATGTTATAATGAATTGTTTGCGATATTTTTATTGTATGATTGGAAATGTAAATGATTTTTAATAATTATTTCATTTTTTCTAAACAATAGCATTTGTTTTTACAATTTTATATTTTTGAATAAACTTTTAAAAAATGATTTTTGCAAAAATAAAATTAAAACTTTAAACAAACGATTAAAAACAAGTCAAATGTCTTTCGGAAGAATTCTCAAAGCAATGGCAGAAATCTTGGAGTTTGTGTCCATCAACTTCTTGAGGACTATAGTAATGATAGCATTGCTTACAAAATGGCTTTCAAATCAAATCATTGATACGTTAAGCGGAAGACTATGTCTGCTATCAGTGACAATACGGACACTTCAAGTGGTCTTCAAAGCAATTAAGATCTTAATC